TTTAAAAAAAAAGTTAATCTAAATTACGTCCAAATGTTAAGAAATTTCTCAATTTAGACTTTAGTTTGAATTTGACCCCACTTTCTTAAAAAAAGAAAACAAACTCCTTTTTCTCAGGTGGCAAACTAATTTTAAAAAGTATATTTAAAGCTATATCTTTGGTTACTGAGGTTACATGAAGTAACGAGAACTATTCCTGGCTTTTGTGGTATGTTATCATGTTAGAAATGTTGAATTCTCTTAATATTCTACTTCTGAAGAGATAATGTGATTTGAAAATTGCATTTTCTAAGGATTGTCACTCCTTAGCTATCCACATAGATAGACCTATGTGAAGTCTTAACATTTTACAGACCCGTAATCCAGTTGAACAAAGAAATTGTAACGTGATTTGAGTGGTGCTTTTCCTTGCTTTGTTAACCATCACAATAGTCTGCAGCACAACTTTTCTTTTAACAAAGCTAGAACAGTTTTGGCTTCTTAAACTTCATATTTGAGTAGGTTAAGCTGCCATATGTGTTCAGTGTGAATAGTGTTTAAGTTGAAAATATTGTAAAAAAATTATATTTTTTCAAAAATATTTAAAAAAATAAATAATAGTAGAACTGAACTGTTGACTGTGTTTATTGGATTTTGGGATGTACATTCTCTAGTGGTGGTGGTGTCCCTTTTCATCCATCTCTCAGTGCCTTAGTCCTGCTGGCAGTGTAAGCAGACAGCTGTTTTGTTAGATTCCAGTAATAAATATGCTGCTTTGTAAGTGCCTCACCGCTGCTCAGCCCTCCTTCATCTCCTTAGCTGCCGTGTCAGAGCAGTTTATGTTAAGGAAGTTCTTTTTACTGATCATCATAATGTTAAGCTTGCTTTTATTATTTTACCTCCTTTGTAGTTTCCAACTTTTACAAGCCATGACTGTTATTGAACTGGTTTGCTATTTTGATTACTCTCCTTTGTCCTCCTATCCTGCGACAAGCTTGCTTTTGTTTGTGGTTAATATTTATGTCAACCACTAGCATTTTCTTGGCTCCATACACAGTTCTGCCTCATGGCTTTCCTCAGCTCTTGATAATGTCCTCTGTACCTTATTGAGCTCACAGGATTTTTAATATTTATCATGGAAGCTTGTACAGTCATTGGCTTAGAACAAGGTCACTTCCATAATGCTAGTGGAAGTGAACTCGGGTGGCCTGGGGCTTCCTTGTTTTTTCCTAGCAATAAAAACTCCCTGGGAGGATTCTCAAAAAGATTAAGAAGACCATGTAGTTAATTTGGGCTCACATGCTCAGTAGTGGTCCATATGATAGCCAGCAAGTTAATATATCCAAAACTCACTGCTGTGGAGTTGATTTGGAGTCATAGAAACTTGTGGAATTCCAAGGCAGTAAATCTTAATATGAAGAAACTGCTCATTCTTCTCCAATGGAGCAACTTAATGGGTTTGAGCCACCACCCATTCAGTTAGCGGCCAGACATTTTATACACTATACTGCTGGGACTGCTTAGTTAATGTGGAAGTGGATTTTTTTAAGAAGCTGTGAAACAAAAGTAACTGTCTTTTTTTTTTTTAACTGATACAGCTAAACCGATCTGTCCTTTTTTTTTTTTAATTTTATTATTTTTTGTGCATTATACCGTCAAATCAGATCTGACTGGTACAAGAGAAGATTGTCCCTCCTTCTCCAGCAGAGCATCTGATGGATTCGAACCAGGCACATCTGGGATTGCAGTGTAGCTTCTTGCCACTAGGCCACCAGAGCTCCCTTCGGTCTGTTCTGTTAATAGCTCAGTACCATGAATAGTACAGGGCTGTCAGATGCAGGTGTACAGAGGTTTTTCTCTTTGAGCTAATGCCAAATTGTTGTTGTTAATGTGCCCTAAAATCATCTGCAACCCATAGCAACCCTTGTGTACAGCAGCTCTGAAGTTTGCCCTGTCCTGAGCCAGTCTCCCTCATTTTGACACACCAACCCCCATTTCCCCAGGTACTGTATCAAACCATCTCATCCAGGGTCTTCCTCTCCTGTGCTGTCCCTCCACCCTTGCAAACATGATGTCCTTCTCCAAAGACCGGTCTCTCCTGGAAACTTGCCCAAAGTATGTGAGACAGAGCTTCAAAATCCTATCCTCCAGGGAAAAACTTGGTTTCATCCTCTCCAGTACAGACCTACTTGTTTTCTTGGCAGTCCATGTCATGTTCAGGACTTTTCTCCAGCACTACAACTTGAAGGTGTTAATTCTTCTGTCATCTTTAGTCACTGTCCAGCTCTCTGATGCATAGCAAGTAATTGCCAAGACCATGATCTGGATTCCATATTACTATTATTGTTACCAAGTATCATCTAGTCTGATCTGACTGATAGTTGAACCTCCTAAGACTTTTCAGATACTGTAAATTGCATGGGAGGAGATTGCCTATTATTCTCCTTTGGAGCAGCTAGTGGATTCAAACCATATGCATTTGAATTGGTAATAGAACTATTTACCCACTCCCTCCAATTGATCTTAATACAGTGTAATTGGAGATTATAAACTAGAATTAGAGAAGCACTGTAATTTATAATGAGTTAGCAAGACTCTAGATTGACCAGATTCTGCTCACACACACCGAAGACTCTAGACTTCCTCGATGTGAATGCTGCATTAGGACACAAGTCACTTAACCTTTGTCTCTGATTTCATAAGTATACAGTTGTAATAATGCGTCTAAGGAGTGTTTGAAGATTTAGTATATATCTAGCACTTAAGATTATAGTTGGCACCTAGGAATTTATGTTTAAATGCTTACAATTATCACTAAGAAGGATTATTCTAGGCTAAACTACTTTTTTTGGCACTTTCTCCATCTGAGGGAGCATGCAGCTATCTGAAGCTAATTTGCTATTTTAACTAGAGAGATTTGCATCTGCATTACAGGTTGGAAATGGGAAGTTTCAGAGCATCAGCTATTTGGTTTTGAAGCCCTTTGAGCAAAGATCACACCATTGACCTACTCTGGAATAATTTTAGGATAACCAAAACCATCCTGTCTGAGAGAGTCCTAAAACAAGAGAAGGAGCCTTGGTTAATGAACTCAGCTGCTAACCAGAAGGTCCACATATTAAACCCACTGACCACTTTGCAGAAGAAAGGACCTGGTGATCTCCTGTAATGATTAAGACCTTGGAAAACAAATTCATTTTTTGCAGTAATTACCAATTCCCTCCACTTAACCTGAATGCACTCAGGTGAGACAGGCCCATAGGTATGCCCCCCTTCTCCCTCCAAGTGAATATTGAGTAATTGTGTATTGTCAAAAAAGTGTCCAGTATTAGTTTTTGTTTTGTTTTTAAAAAATTCCCCCCACCCCCCATTCTTATTTAAAGCAAATTCTTATTTAAAAGCAAGGCATGCTTGTTGATGACTCTCTTAACAGACTAATTTGAGTTAATTGAAGCTGCTCCCTGGTTCTACTCTGGAGAGTAATCTGGGACTTCTTAGTGTTTTGTTTTTGTGGTTTTTAAAAAAGTTTTTGCAGGGAGTGTGTGGGGAATTTGTTTTATTTTTGTTTTTTAATACATTAACCCATGGGCAACCCTCGAGGGGAAGAGGATGAATTGATTTCACATTTCACTTATTAGATTTAGTTTAGAAAACATGTTTCCTACCTGGTGCTCTTAGGAAGGAGTATCGTAAACGCATCGTTTAATAACATACTCCTTTTGAAAGTTGCCTTTCTCTCCACCCTCGAGTAGGTCCAGTATTTGATGAAAACTCTTGGAAGTGTTTGGAACCTGTCTTGCCCCCTCTTTTCGAGGCTGCACTATACTTTTGACTGTGACTTTGAAGGAAATGTGTTTTGCCATTTGCTGTTTATTTTTGGATGTTAATGTCTAACTTTTACTGATAAATGAAGAAAAATTTTGCACCTTTTGAAATGCACAAATGAATTGAGCTCATAATTAATTTTTCTCCCCTCAGTCATTAATCTTAAATGCTTAGTTTAGATGTTTAGCTTTATGTAGTGTTTGATGTGTTCCTAGAACACAGCTGAAGTCCTGATGTATGGAGGAAATATGAGGAGTGCTGCTAGCAGACAGATGTATATGGAATGATTCACATCCTCTTGAATTGATGAAGATGGAGGCCTGCTTCGGTTAAGAAGGTGGGGGTGGGGGTGGAAAGAAAATGGGACCAGTTAAGGGAATCCCCTTAACTTTATGAGAAACCCTAGAGCAGCCAGTTGAAGCTCTTTAGTTGAATTAAAAACCATGAAAGGTCTTTTGAAGACTCTTGGTAAGTGTTAATAGGTATTTATCAGTTCATTTTGGTTTCAGTTTCCAATTTTTTTGTTTTTTAAATGTTTGGGTAATCTAAAAAGACCTTCCCAAATTCATAATTCTTGTAGATTCACTAGTGCTGAACCAATATTTTCTCATGTCTCAATTCTTTGTATATGCATTCTTTTCACATTAAACAACAAAAACAAAACACCAAACCCTTTTATTTAAAAAAAGATCTTAAAAAATCCAGATTAATTCTTCCCTGTTCTGTAGGGTTGCTGTTAGCTGGAATTGACTTGATGCCACATAACCACATTTAAACAAGGCAGTTTATATAAGATCTCTCCCATTGTGCCATTATCAGTCTTTTCATATTCTGAAGTGATAACCATTTAGCATACTGGAGTTAAGGTGAGCTGCCCATGACTGAAGTTGCCAGCTTTTGAGCTCCAATTGACCAGATTCTGTCAAAACACACCGAAGGGGTCAGTATTTTATCTTCTCAATTTCTTTGTGATCCATACCAATTGGGAAGTTCTAGTTTCGGTATAAATGATTAAGAAACCCACTCAGAAGGCCTGTGTTCACCTTTTACCCAATCTACCCTCTCCTTGAGGACATTTGATAGGATACAAAAAATGTAAACTGATGATTTGGCTTTTCTATGTCAAATTGATTCTTCAATCCTCTCACAGAAGCCATAAAACAAAATGCATCCTACCTTTCTTGGAAATAATTTTTTTAGACTTTGGTGCACACAGCTCTGCTTTCTGGAGTGTCTTCTGGAACTGGAAGCTCCTTTTTTGACCTTAAAGAAAATCCTTTGAAGACTGGGCAGATGGGAATGAATTTCAGAAAAGCCATCCTTTTTACTATGCCCATCCCGATGGGGAAGTCGTAGCTCTTGAGGCTGGTGGATGTTTCACTGTTGGCATGGGCCCCAGCTTTCCACTGTGTCAGGCCTCGTTCCTCCGGGCTTCCTGGAAGATAGCAGTGAGGGTAACATTCCAGGGCCAGCAACCTTCTCTTTTCCATAGCCTAATGCTGAGATGGACTTCAAGAGTCAGGTACTTTCTAGGCCCAAACTGGTTCAAATCCATCAACTGCTCCATCATGGAAAGAAGATCTGCTTCCATGAAGATTTACAGCCTTGGAAATCCTTTGGGCAGATCTACTCTATAGGGTCTTGACAACAGTGGGTTCGAGTATTTTTTGTATGTTCAGTATTATTTCATATTTGGAAAGTAAACTTGGTTTTTATACTATCACAAAGTGATACCCATTTTCTTATACTCTGAAAATAAAATAAAAATTTTGTTGGTAGTAAGAATACACAGAAGGGGGGTTTTTCCAACTAGAAGAATTTTCCTGTAGAAAGTTGCAAGTCTAGAAAAAGGATAGATTTCCATGTGCCTAGCCCACTGCATGAATTAGTGTCAGCAGATGAGCCATAAAACAGCCCAGATCACAAATCCTATGAGTAGTGCAGACCAAATGTACTGAGGGAGGACTTGGTCTTCCGGGGAGATTACCTGGAGGAAATAAGGTGTGAACTAGATAGGGCAGGATGCAAGCTGTAAGTGAAACATGTGGTGGCTGATCGTAACCCTCACCATTGCTAGCATGCAAAAACCAGTCCAGATTTACTGTCAGACAACTCATTGTCATCAAGTCAGAACCAGTTCATACCTGACCTTCCATTGGGTTTCCAAGGCTATAAATCACATGGGAGTAGAGACTACCTATCTTTCTCCTTCAGAGCTGCTAAGGGATTTGCATGTCCAGGCAGGTGTGGCCTTTGTGTTAGCAGTGCCACCCAGCAGAGCTGCTCTCTAGCAGATGGCTGCATATTCTCTACCTGAGCTAACCTCCTGCCCAGCACTTTCTTTTCCCAGGATCTGGTCAGGCGCCCTCATCTAGGATGCTACCTCAGTGACCTTCCTGAGCAGTTAAAAGTCAGTTTTACTTCCTATTCATTGTTTTAAGATTTCCTCAAACTTAAATATCCATCAGTGTCCAACCAACACATTCCAAGCTCATGAGCACCACTGTCATTTGTGGCACTAAATTGACTACGTCTTTTCAGCTTGGCTTGTGATAGCAAAAGAAAAGGGATATTTTTTTATAATACAGAACCATCCTTTTCATATTTAAACCTTGTAAGCCCTCTAGCAAATTAAAGTTTGCAGAAAGCTGTGCAGTTTCTATTGTGAGGGTTTCGGGTTTTAGCCAGATCAGAGTTTGAATCCAGTTTGTGATTTTAGGCAAGTTAACTTTACTCTGAGCTTGTTTTTTCATCCTTGTACACGGAAGGGCTGTTGAGGATTTTAGCATAAAGCATTCATGATCCCTGGGAGGGATGGTAGCTAATGATTAATCGGAGTACTTAATCCCACTACTCTGAAAAGAATCATCTCAAGTCCACAGGCAACTAGTACCAGGCTGCCTACCTTGATGCCCTCTCTCCCCCCAGAGTCCCTAAGTCATCTCTGCTGCTTTGTAGTCTCAGGTACACAGGATGTGCTGTGGTGCAGCTTCCTTTAAGTGGAGGGCGGGGGATGGGATCCATTGTCAGGTTTCCACCCATCAAAGGGGCAACTATTCCCAGGAATTCCTGCTGCCTAAAATCCCCCAGGGAGCCTAGCCCTTACCTACCTTACCACACACTGGCTCTGCAGAGCCAGCCTTTCTGTTCTGTGCCACTGGCTAAATGACCATGCCGAGCCTGGAGCTTTCTCAAGGTTGGTAAGTGGCTCGACTTGGCAGTTGGGCATCATGCTGCTGTCCCTTATCCTTATCTCACAATCATTTTTCTCTACTGATAATTGTTTTGACTATTCCACCAGAGCTGCCTGGTAGTTTTTGCCCCATTCTTGACCAAGCCTTCCTGATCTTCCAGCACAGCTCTCAGACGAGACAGTGGCGAGATGGGTCAGATGGACTTGGCTAAAATCTTAGATTTGCATTGTCTCAGGTTCCTTCCCTTAACAGGGTTACTCCTCTGTTTTCTTATGTGTGAAAATCTCTGCCTCACAGGATGGGTTTTAAAGATGAAAGATGAAATAAGGTACTTGGCTCCATACTGGCCCCTAATAGATAAAAGGCTATTTTAATATTAGAGAATCCAATAACATTTCATTTTCTCTATTTACTGGGCACATATATGTGAGCCCAGAGGATTCCCAGAAAGGATATTCTTTGCAAAAATACTCAGACATCAAAGGGAAATGTTACAAGTATGACAGCTGACATGTTTGGAGTAGATTCTGGGTGGTGCTTTTGGGTCTGTCCTATATGTAAGTAAATGCACTTAGAGACAGCCCTCAGCCTGGCGGCTATCAAGAAATACTGAAGACAAAAGTTCATCTCAGCAACTGGGGAAAGAGAGTTGGCAATAGGAAGGAATGGACTGTGTAGCTAATTGTTTCCTTTGTCTTTAGACCAGAACTAAGGGGTACCTAGCTGCCATTACTGAACATTTAGAACAAATACTACACAGAAGAATCCTAAGGAAGAAAGGAGCAAATGCATAATAGACTTTAAAATACATGGTTATCCAGGCTTTCCAGAACCATGGACTCTAAATGAATTCCTGAAACTACTGCCCTAAAATAGTCTTTAAACCTTAAACTGAAAATATGAAGTCTTAAAACCAAAGACTAGCATAACAAAGAATGTTGTGACCATTATGTTCTTTTAAGATACATAGGATTATGTTGTCAACAGCCACTTGAAAATTAGATTAAAAACTTTATGAGGTTATGTTAATGGGGGAGGAACAACTCAAGGGAGGCAAGTAACGATGATTGCACCGTTTGAAGGGAGTCAGTGTCACTGACTTGCCTATGTAGATATGAATTAGTGTGTTTTTGCTGTTTAAATTCTCAAGAAATATTTTAAAATTCTTTTTTAGAAAGCATCCAATGTGGTAGGTCTTTCAGGTCGCTTTGTCAAGGTCTGTGAGTCATGTCTGCCTCTCTCCCTCCAGCTAGGGCACCTTCCATAGCCTATCTGTTCCTTCTCACCATGGGAGTTGTCCTGTACCTGGCTACATTTCAAATTCAGTCCAGCCTAGCTCTGCATCCCTCACTCCAGACTGACACATACCTGGCACTGTATTATCCAATATGAAAGCAAGACAGCCACCCACAAACATCTCAGTGGTCAGCAGCACAGTCAGAATCTGGTCCACTTCAGGGATGCCTGTGAAATAGGCCAGGAGTCAGTGGGCATTGTAGCATCACCTTGTGAGCAGAGGAAGCAACGACTCCTGTGCTTCCTTTGAGCGGACACAACCATAGAAAATCCAGCCTTTTTTAAGAGTCAGGGCTGGAAGGGCTCCCTTGCATTGCTGGAGCTGAATCCTAGATTTGTCCACTGCTGGTGGTTGATTTGGGATAAATCACTTAATCTCTCTGAGCCACACTTTTCCACATCTGTAAAATGAGATCATGAAATATCTCTTAGGGAGCTGTTGTGAAACATGGGGTCACAGTGGTGTTCTGGTAATGGATACCTGCTAAATTATCCTTTCAGCTGTCAATTACTCAGAGATCACAGGATTTGTGGCTCCAGCTTTACAGAAGGGAACCCTGTTGGCCATGCTTCTGTGGTTCAAATCCACCTCAAGAGAAAGGTGATCTCCAGTTGACAGCCTTGAAAATGGGGGATTAGTTATTAATAGACTCTGACTCAACAGCAATGAGAGTTGAGAACCATAAATAGAACTTTTCTTCCTTCTCCCTTCTCTCTCCCCCACTGTGTTGTAGATACTTTAAGGGAGGTGGCTGTGTTCAAAGTCACAGGCCCAGCCTTTTATTCCCTTAAACATAGAGACAGGAAGAAGCACCTGTGTTGATGGCACCCGGGTTGGACTCCAAGTAATTGGGCAGTGTGAGCCCAAAGAACATGGAAAAGCCAAGCACGAACAGATTGCGAGAGGAATTCATGTCCACAAACTGCAGGTTGGACAGTCCCACGGCCGTGATCATGCCTAGGAGTAAAGAACCAGTGGAAAGATGGCAGGACCTGCTGCTTTGCCACCTGCACCGCAGCACCCTGCCCCAGTGCCTCAGCCTGGGCCTTACACTCACCAAAGAGAGTGCAGAACATGCCCCCCAAGATGGGGTCAGGAAGTGAAGCGAAAAGGGCCGTGAACTTGCCGATGGTGCCCAGGACCAGCATGATAGCTGCTCCATACTGCACCACACGCCGGCTGCCCACCTGCCAGGAGAGTCAGGGGAGGGTTGATGAGGGGGCGAGGTTGGGGCCTGGTAAGTGGGGCAGGAAAAGGCCCTGCTTTTAAGGACAAGGGGCAAGAAAAATGGGGATCGGCTTAGGGTGGGCCTGCAGAGCATCGGATGAACACAGGGCTTAGTGCTGCTGCGGCACCAGGACCTTAGTGATGCCAAGGACGCCGATGTTGGGGCTGGATGACGTGGACCCATTTCCTGTGCCCAGTAACCCTGCAATAATGCAGCAGATGCCTTCAGTGAAGATGCCTCTGGAAGAAAAAAAGACAAATGAGGGCCTTAGTCCAGCCTCTAATCTTATTATCTGATAAGGAAAGGAAAACTTACTGTAGTGAACAATTTCACAAGGATTTTACACCTTTGATGTGAAAACAGGTAAAATGTTGCTACAGACCAGTCAGTAAATTCAAGTAAGACTATTGCATTCCTGGTACTGTCTCTTAACCGGGACTACAGAATCTTTGATGTGGTGAAATATCAAATTGTTCACTAGAGATTAAGATGTGCATTTGTACCTTGCATACTGGGTAACATTAGACCTGCTCTACCTGGCCCTGGATCTTCCCAGGCCTCTGGCCAGGCTGCCAGCTTTCACAGGGAACGTGGGGGGAAGCAACTGTAATTCTTCCCACTCCGGGCCAAGTCCCAGCACTAGTCCCAGTGTACTTGCATTTACTCCCTTGGGCAAGTCTGAGCTTTAGTTTCCTCAAATGTAAAGCTGAATAATAAAAGTTCCTGTCTCAGTGATGTTGTGTTCTTGTTAGATGCTGTCATGTATGGCTCATCGCAACTCCATGAACAAGATCTTCTATCCTGTGCCATCTTCACAATTTCTGGCACTCGAGCCCATTTTTGCAGTCACTATGTCAGTCCATCTGGTTGAAGGTCTTCCTCTTTTTCGCCATCCCTCCATCTTTCCCAAGCATGATATTCCTCTCCAAGGAACAGCCTCTCCTAGAAACATGCCTGAAGTATGTACAATGACGCTTTGTCATCTTTGCCTACAAGGAGCACTCTGACTGCCCCTTCTCCAAGACATATCTGTTCTTTTGGAAGCCCATGGGATATTCAGCACTCTTCTCCATCACCACAGTTCAAAGGCATCAATAAATCTTCTGGCACCCTTATTCATCATCCAGTTCTCAGATGCATAGCAAGTGACTGAAAAGACCATGGCCTGAATTGAGCATACCTTAGACTCAAGCTAACGTCATTGATAATTTGGAGAGATCCCCAACTGTAGATTTTCCCAGTGCAATGTATCTCCTGATCTCTTAATTGCTGGTACCAAGTGGCCTGATTGTGGAGACACATAAGATAAAATCATTGACAATGTCAGTCTTTTCTCAGTCTATCATGATGTCTATTGGTCCAGTGGTAAAAATTTTTGTTTTCTTGACATTGAGATGCAATCTATATAGAAGGCTGCATTCTTTGTTCTGCAGAAAGTGTCTCAGATCCTCCTCACTTTTTAGCAAGCAAGGTTGTGTCATCTGTATAATGCAGATTATTGATGAGTCTTCCTCTGATCCTAAGGCCACATTCCTTTTCATAGATTCCATCTTCTTGAATAATCAGGATACAGATTGAATAGGTAGGAAGAGAGGATATAACACTGATGCACTCCTCTCTCCATGCAGTGTTCCCTTGCTCTGTTCACACAACAGCCTCTTGGTCTAGATAAAGGTTTTGCAGGAGCACAATTAAGTGTTCTGGGATTACCATTCTTCTCAATATTAGCCGTAATTTGCTGTGATCCACACAAATGCCTTTGCATAGTCAATAAAGCACAAATAGACACCCTGGTATAAGACGTTGTGTACCATTGACATCAGTGGCATTATGGGACATCAACGTGTATTGATATTAGTGGATTGGATACTGGCCATCAAAGGTGAGGTACAGAGAAGGTTGTCAATAACTCAGTTTTCCTTAGACTCCATTATATCTCCTTAGCAACTCTCAGCAATCACAAAGTAGCAAGTATTCTCATAAGGAAAATGAGATCTGAAGGGAGTGATTTTTCCAAGTCTCCACCTCTGGGACTCAACACACATTCGCCTTGTGTATTGGTCAGGCTGCACACGTACCTGTTGATGGCATGTACTGGAGGAGGTGGCGCACCAGCCAGGCGCGCACACGCGTAGTAATCGCCAATGGACTCAATGATGCCCGCCAGTGTGGCACTGAACATGCCCAACACAGCAGCTGCAGTGACCGTGGGCAGCCCCCACTGACCTGAGGCAGAGATCAGAGCCACTGAGAACACACTGGGTATTTGGAGAATTGATCGGGGCAACTGTAGGGGGTTGATGAGATCTCAAGTTGTGGAAGCTGCTCTGGATTCACTCAGGAAGCGGAAGTGAAGTCTGAGTAAAACGGCTTTGTCGGCGCACAGTAGATGTGTCGCTAACGCTACTTAAACTCTCATCAGTCGGACTGGGATCATTAGGGGTCTCAAAATTGGTCTCAGTTACAGTTCTTGGGCCCAGGGGTGGGTTGCTCACAGGGGTAGGGGATTCGAATCCAAGGTGCAATAGCCATAATGTCACCACGGGCATCAGTCCGTGCCTGGAAACCGTAGACTGTGGGGTCTGTAGGCAGCACATCCGTCAGAGTCAAGACGTAGCAGAGCAGCCACACAGTCATGATGGCCAGCACGATCTGAAGGAAGAGGGCAAGCAGTGCACCAAGGGCCCTGCAGTCCTCACCCCAGCCCCCCACCTGGTACCGGGGACCCCACCTCTGCTCTAGTTCTTCCTTCCATGTTACTCCCTCAGCCTGGCTCAAGTCCAGCCCCCACCCCAGTTGCCTCCAGCTCCTCACAGGAAACATCTTGAAGATCTGGATTCGAAAGAGGGTGAAGCCTTTGCCCCAGCGGTAGATAGGCAGCAGGAAGCTGAGGTCACGCAGGTACTGGGAGAAGAGGACGATCAGGAAAATGGAGCTGGGGGCAGAGAGACAAAGAGGTGACTGGCAGACCAGCTGGGCCCAGGAGCCAAAACTAAGGGGGAAGAATGTGAGGAGTGGGGACTGGGACAGGATGGGGTCAGGCCTCGTTCCAGCTCACCAAGCTGAGATGCCCCAGTGGGAGCCAGCTCGGTCTCCAGCAGCTTGGAAGACAGAGAGACCAATGAGGGAAACAGTAGGGGTGACTGTGAGAGGTCCAATGTAGCTGAGCAGGGCCCCAGGCAGTCCCAACAATCCAATTACCACCTCTACCATGCTGGACACTATGATTGCACCCTGGACCTGGGAAGGACAAAAATCATCTTTCAGTCATCATGCAGAGGCCATGATTTGACTAAGGGTGGGATGAAAGCTCCTGTTCCACCTTTTTGCATCCCCCAATTCAACAGTCAATCACTCCCACCTAGTCCCCTTGTCAAGTCCAGACCTGTACTCCAGGTGCAAACCCACCTCTCGTATTCTTGGGTGCCAGATATGAGAGGTGTTCAGAGGCAGACTCCAGTTACCGTAGATCTCCTCTGAAACAGGGATATGTTGTGTGTTTTTCTCTCTCTCTCTCACATACACACACACACACACACACACACACACACACACACGCAGGAGAGGGATAGAGGGAGAGGTGTACCCTGGTTTCTGGATTCAGGACAGTCACCCAGGCCTCCAGGGCCCCAGGCCTCCCCTCTTCAGTACCCTGGGAGTAAGCCCACCTTCTGAGGGGCATTTCCATTTTTCCAGGGCCAGGATGGCTTTGGCTGGAATCAGAAATGCAAAGGCACTGGCCTGGAAGAGTGGCAGCCTGGGAGGAGAGGCACAGGGTAGAGAGGAGAAGCAGATAGAGACAGGACAATCAGATACACAGAGACAGACAGAGGGATAAGGTAGAGGGAAGCCACTGAGGCCCCAGGCAGGGCTGTTCCTTACATTTTTTAGAACCCAAGGAAGAGGACCCAGATCACAGGCTTCCCCCTCCCTCCTCAACACCAGCTCCCTGCACAGAGACCAGGTGCACAGAGGTGACCAACTTGGTTCCTGAATCCAAACCCCAGTCAACTTTCCCTTTATCCTCAAACGGCCTCTTTTTGATCACCAAGCCTAGAACTGTACACAGGGGTACAAGCAAGTGACACTGAGCAGAAGGGCTACTGGGACCACACAGACCCAGGAAGCTGAGTTTAGGCCAACTGCACTGGGAGGTCTGGGGTCCCAAGTACCCAGAGTCCAGCTTAGGGGGCAAGAACCCAGCCGGGGCATAATCCTTTAAACCTACAGACTCCTGACTCCTTAAGAGCAACAGAGTGGCTCTCTCTCAAGGAGACTCCAGCTGCCAGGAAGCAGCTCTTTTTTTTTTCTTCTTGCCCCTCAGTTCTCTGAGAAGACCTCCTCAGGCCACGCTGTGTGGGGAGTGGGGCGGGGCAGCTCACCGGATGCCTAGTGTGGTCTGGATGAGGGTGGTGATGCCCACGCACGTGAAGATGGTGCCAATGAGCTGGCTGACCATCTGCTGGTCACGGCCCACGCACAGCGCCTCCGCCAGGAGGAAGGGCACAGCGATGGTGCCGCTGAAGCAAGTCAGGTAGTGCTGGAGAGCGGGGGCAGCGCGTGAGCGGTTCCCCAACGACCCTAGCCTTCCCCGGTGGCTTACCCAGAACCTGCACACCCCACCAGGGAGTCCCGGGGAGTTAGCATTTATCTGCCGAGGGTCAGTGACCGCCCCACACCTTTCCTGCCGCTTCTGAGCCCCCAACCCCAAGGCCGTCCTCCCCCCACTAACACTCCTGCGGGCACTAAGTAATGCTTCCGGGGATTACGCCTCTGTTGGGCATCTTCCCCACCCAACTGGGCAACAATCACTGTGTTGACCTTAATTTTCTCTTCCTGTTATCCAATATGACCCCATTAGCCAGGGAGGAGGGTGCCACAGTGAAGGGAGGACCCTAAGGAGAAGCCCACCTGGAAGCCCAGCAGGATACACAGGTACCACGGTGGCACATCCTCAATCTTGTACAACATATCAAATTGAGTCTCTGAGGGCAGGAACTTTGGGGGCTCCCTGGTGGCTGCTGAGTCCAAGGACTCATACTATGGCAGCAGAGAGAAATAGTTTGGTATTGAGTAATCGACAGGCAGTGTTCATCCTGCCCCAGGGAGAGCTCAGGGGGCCTTACAGTGAGGCCCTGGAGCTCCACTTCCTCCCCCACCCCAAGTCCCATACAGCTGTCACTCAACCTGGCCACACTTGGCATCCACTTCATGCAGGGATGAGTCCACTGTTCCGACTCCTGGAGTGGTTAGGACCTGGGAGGATGGGTGCCTGAGTCAAGTGGTTTAGGGGACTGACCAAAATAGGGGGCCAAGAGGAGACTGGACAGGTTCTCCTTGGGCTGGGCACAACCTAAGAGTCCCAACTCTATCCCCTGGCATCCTTGGGTTAGCTTTGAAATCCCAACTCTGGCCCTCACCCCAGCCCCTAATTTCCACAAGCGGCCTGGAGTGTTGCTCTCCAACAAGTTCATCAACACTTTCATCTCTGCCTCCCAGAGGGGAGACTTGCACCAGCCTTCCAGAACCCACCCCGGAGCTACCACCCAGCTCCCACTCATCCCCCGGCACCTGTGGCTGGCCCTCAGGGTCCTCCTGGACACTCATCTTTGGGGCAGAGTTGTGAGAAGTTCCTGAGGAGAAGAGGGAACAACATTACAAAGGCCAGAGAGGACTTTACACATCAGACATTGTTCAAAGTAAATCTGTAACCAGAGCCTCAGAGCTGGATTGCGAAAGGGGAACCCAGGTAGAAGTAACGTATTAACTCTGGCCATAGTGGGAAAGGCCACCAAGCCTCTGCCGCATTTGTCTCCTGAGCACTCTCTTCTCTGGGCATGGGACCCGACCTCTTGTTGGGAGAAGGCCCAAGAAGGAAGTGGGTGGGCAGTGAGAAGGCTTGGAAGTTTTCCAAGAACTGGGTGAAGTTGGAGGGAAATGGGCACTTTGAACATCCCACACCCTGTCCAAGGCCCTTCTCCATTTATTAATCATTATCACCATTATCATAATCACTCTCATTGCTGAGTAATAGACATGCACTGTCCTGCTTAACCCTGTGGTGTTGGGTGGTATTATCTTTCCCCAACATGATGCAGATAATAAAATCCTAGAAACACACATTCAGAACCCAATTCAGAACCTATGCTGTAATCACTGCATTGCATGTGATAAAGTTCAATCCTCCCCACGCCCCAACACTGAGGCTTCCTGAGCCGCACAACATATGGGACCCGGTGGATATGGCACCAGCCAGGCTGGCCTGGCCCTCTCTGTCCTCTTTCAGGGCTCAGATTCCCTTCCCCTCCTTGCTGGGACCAGTCACATAATGTGTGGGGCCCAGTGAAAAAAGGCAAACATGGTGTCTCCTGTTAAAAAACTACAAGATATTTTAAGATAACAATAGAGAATTAAATGAAACTGTCAACGCTCTGGGCACAGGTTGAAAGACACAAGGCCAGTCTTATTCCTTGTCTCCTACTGGAAGACCCTGGAGTCTGAGTCTGATGGGGAGATAGAAAGGATCCAGGGTCTCAAGGCTTCTTAGCGGGTGGGGGTTGGGTCCAGAGTCCAGGGTCTACTAGTTGGTCCCTGTGCTACCACACCCTGCCCTGGGGCTCACCTACTTCTTGGTAGCTGTGTCCAAGGCCAGGCCCTGCCTTGGGAGCTCACGGGCAGCACCGCTCTCCAGCTGGGCAGAAACTTCATGGTGAAGCCCTGAGTCCGTGTGCCTGTCCGGCCTCCAGCCCTTTCCTTTGTGGGTCTGCCTTCTCCTCGCCCTTCTTGGAGCCTGCTCTAGGCTCCTAAAGTTGTCCGACCAGTTTGGATTCTTGGAGGTGCTCCTCAGCACTTTCCTCCCCACCCTCAGCAGCCAATGCTCCTCAGGGGGCTGTGGAGACAAAGCCCCGCCCCTCACATACACAGCCTGGTGATAACAATGAGACCCAAATGACAAAACACAAACCCCAATGACAGGCGGAGAAGTTGTACATGGTCCGAGGAACAAGGACACACAATGGGCCCACAACACCCAGACTCTGTGCAAAGAAAGAGTCTCTCAGAATCAATCTAAACAAAACTAAGGTCAAACAGGTCCATGTCACAGACACACAGCTCCACACCCCCTACACTGACAGCTCAGCCAGTTTGTCTAGGGTTCTCTCTGCAGGGAGATCCTGAGGAGGAGGAGTTTCAGGCAGATCCTGGAACAAGTGAGGGAATATGGGGGTTGGGGCTGCAGTGCATGACCCGCGTGCGAGGGCACACACACACACACACACACACACACACACACCCGGGTACATGCAGGTGTACAGGCCTCAGGTATTCCCATTCCTCCTGCAGGGATGTCCCCCTGCGCAATCTGAGTCCTCCTCCCAAGCTTCTGCTAACCAGCCAGGAGCTCACTAACAAATGGGAATTAGCTGCTATTCGCTTACATCCCAGGTCTCCAGTGGGAACAGAGAGATGCTCACAAGTGAAACTGCAAGTTGTAGACCCACTTTACCTCAGGAATCCCGATTCCTCAGGGAAGGGCCCCAGGCCACAAGAGTTACTGCAGAGATCTGTGCTTGGAGCCAGGACACTGTGTCCAGCTGGTTGGAGGAAACCCATGCTGCCCAGATCCAGACAGAGGTCCAACCATGCCACTGGGGTCAAGGGCAGCAGACTCTAGAAAGTGAGTGGTCCCGGTGTCACTCAGAGATCTCAGGCTCAGAGCTTGAGCTGCCACAGCACGTGTGTGCGGCCCACCTCTGTAGTTCCCATTGGTTGGTTTCTTTCTCTCATAATAGAGATCTCAGAGCTGTGGGTTCCACTGAGTATGTGACTCTATCTCTGTGCCTTTGACAGCTTGTCAACCAGCTTACCCCTAGGAAGCTTGTGAGAGCATATACTTGACCTTCTGGTTGACTAGTGGTAAGGAACTGCGCTGCTATCCCAAAGGCACACGGTTAGAGTCCACCAGCTTCTCCGTGCAATTCAATTGCCTCTGAAAACCTGCTCAATGGTCAGCTATGGGCCAGTTCCAACTTGATAGCACACAACAACAGAATGAGGAACATTGAGCTCTGGTGGCCTAGCAGTAAGAATCTGCACTGCAGTCCTGAAGGCACATGGTTCAAATCCACTAGCTGCTCTGGAGGAGAAAGATGTGCAATTTCCTCCCATGTGATTAACTCATTACCTAAAACCCACTGGAGGGTCAGCTATAGGTCAGTTCCAACTCATTAGGGACACAACAGCTCTGCTGGAGAAGGAAAGACAGTCTCCTCCTGTACCAGTTGGATCCACTTTGACGGTACACACACAACAACAACAACAACAACAGGAGGAGGAACATTAGGGAGCTGTGGTGCCTTAGTGGCAAGGAGTTGCACTGTCACTCCAAAAGCAGCTGGTTTAAATCTACCCATTGTTCCAAAGGAGAAAGATGGGAAATCTCCCGTGTGATTTACAGCCTCTAAAAACCCTCTAAAGGGTCAGTTATGAGTCACCTCTGACTCCAAGTCAGTCAACTGACTTTGAGGATGAATGTCATCAAAAGCATCAATGTCTGTCCTCTCAAACCCCCAAGTACCCTTTGCAGAGAGAAACAGTTGGTGTCACTGAGTTTTATTAGAGTCCAGAGAGGAACATCCTGGCTCCCACCCAGGCAAGCCCCAGGCCATGCACAAAGCTGGAGGAGGGCAGACTGGCAGTGCAGAGCAAGGCCTCTCTGCCCCTGGGACCAGCCTTCGAAAGGGCATGGGGACAGTCCAGAGGTGAGCTGTAGCTGCCAAGCCTGATGGTACTGGGAGAGGGGGAGAGGAGTCCAATTAGAGCTCTTCTCTTGGGGCTGGGGTCTCCTCCGAGCAGGGCCCCTGTGGTTCTCCACAGAGCAATGACTCCAGCACCTCTTGGCCTTGTTGGTGAGCTTCATAGATCTGGTCTTCTCCAAATTCTCCCAGGTAGTACAGACATGTCTTGGAGAGCCTACAGGAACCCAGGAGGAGCTCAGACCCTGCTCAGCTTGCAGGGGCCAAGCCAGGCTCTATCCTATGCCTCCTTCTCCCGTTCCCAGCCCCAACCATTGTCACCTGTTGGGCCAAGGGCCCCCTGTGACCATCACACTGATGCTTGGCTTTAGCCCGTTGCCGAGTCCTGGTCCCGTGAGCCGTTTTACCTGGTTCACTTCTTGGACCCCGTAGCTGTTGGCAATGGGGAGGATACAGCATTAATGGGTGTCCAGCCAGGGCAGGGCCTGCCTCCACCTGAAGTGGACACACTCCATAGCCTCAGGAGCATTTGCTGAGCTCCATCCCTGGTGGAAAACCTAGCCCAGAGGGGGAAGCCCTCCACCCAAGGTCACACAGCAAGCCTCTGAGGTCAGGCTCCCTCCATTGTCTTTCCACTCTTTCACCTCCTTCCAGCCCCAGCAGAGCCTGTGTGGAGTGTGTGTGGGTAAGTAGAGAGGGTGGACCTCTACCGTGAGCCTTGGCCCTGGAGGAAGGTGGTAGGTACCCAGTAGACACTCACCCCTGCCAGCTCTGGGTGCAACTTCGGTCTAGGATGTCTGTGTACGCAGACTCACTCAGTTCTCGCCGGCCCCCAGACCCAAGGGTATGAAGCTTAGCCTCGGCCTCTGCCAGATGTTGCCACATCTGGAACAAGGAGGGGCTGGGAGTCAGGCTTTGGAGCTGCACCCAGGGGCGAGGTCTCTGGGGAAGCCGAGGTGGCAAGGGAGCCGTTTGGGCAGGAAGCACCTGCAAGGCAGGCTACACAGCCCCTCCCCGAGTCCCTGTAACCTAGGTTCAGGCCAGCCCAGGCAGGATCCACTCCCAAGAACGGCAGTGGGGTGAGAGCCTCAGGACGAAGGGGAACACTGGGCGCAAGTTCCCCTGTACCCACCCCTGGCACGCCTTCCCTGAAGCTCCTGCCTGTTATAAAACTCACTGCCACTGAGCCCATTAAATTGCATGAGAAGAGATTGCTCATCTTTCTCCTCCAAAGGAGCTGGTGGATTTGAACTGCCAGAGAGGCCCAGCTTTAGTGAGTCATCAGCGAAAATCCCCATGGGCCAGGCCACTGGAGCACTCTCTGCCATCATAAGCACAGGCTGCTTTAAAGCCTGAAAGCAAGGAAGGAGCAGAAGCAGAGTCTGGTCTTCAGTGATGTGTGTCATCGGGCACATGGACATGGAGATGGAGGGATGCTCCAAGTGTGTGTGAGCACTCAGACACATACCCTTCCATGCATACACTCAATGCATGTGCACACATATACCTACATACAAGGAACCCGGTCATGAAGAGAGGGAATCCCTGAGGGTGTCCCTGCAAAGGAAGGGGCCTGAGACAACAAGAAAATTATTTCCTGGGCTCTCAAGACGCCTGGGGTGTCCCAGAATATCTGTTTTCTGATGGGCAGGCAGATGGACAGATGGAAGCATGAGGAAGAATGAGGTAGAGCTGTTAGTTCACAGAAGGAAGGCTGTGTCTGGGGCTTGCTGTGTAGGGGTGGGAATGTAGGGCTTGAAGTTCAGTGGTGGAATTTGAGGTAGGTGGAAGGTTCTGGCTGGAAGAGGGGGCTTGATATGGGCAGCAGAAGTGTTGGGGGGCTTACCTGGTAGGCCACAGCCCTGCAGGCGTCACAACGCAGGTGAGCAGGCATATGAGACGAGTACTTCTCCTCATCATCCAGCTGTGGGGCAGTGGCCGTGAGAGTAGCCCTGTCCCCAAGGCCTCCCGGGATGGTCCAAGCCCCCAGCAGTAACAGTAGCAGCAGCAGTGACAGCCTCATGGTCCGCGGAGCCCACTCAGCAAGCGTGGGCTGTGTTGGGTGCAGGTGTGCTTATCCATGTGTGTGGTGTGGCTGGCACAAATGCCTGGCCGGCCCAATGAGGAACTGACACCTCTCCCTCCCCCCACGGCACAGAATGTGCCACGTGTGTACTTTTTTTGGCGGGACCGCCTGACTTCAGCCATCTCAAATCCATTTTACATACAGGAACAATGAGGCCTGGGCAAGGTCATGTGAAAACTAATTCCTTCTATATCCTGGGATCTGCCTGGATGCCACACTGTGCTGAGCACCTTGTGGGCAGAAGTTACTGTCATCATTCTTCTATACTGAGGACTCTGAAGCTCAGAGAAAAGTGACAAGTTCACAGTCCTGTAGTTAGAGGGGCAGAGACCAAATGGGGGGCCAGGTGTGACTGACCTCATTGTCTGTCAGGCACTAAGAAGCCAGGAAGAATGAGGTGACAGGCATAGCATCAGCCTAGGGCTCCCTCCCTGGGAGGCACCTCAAGGTCATTGAGGAAAGGCATGTGAAGGATACACATATCTTACTCTAAGGGTTCCCTCTACTCAGTCCATCTCCTGGCAGGAGAAAGGAGAGAGAGAGAGAGAGAGAGAGAGAGAGAGAGAGAG